TCGTCGTTCTCGTCGTCGACATCCAAGTCTTGTAGGTCGCCTTTGAGTCCCACGAGGAAATATCCGTTGTTCTCCAGTCGTATTTGTTGCTTTGCCCTCTCTTCTACATGGTCTACGTCTGGTGCTGGTTCAACATATCGCATGGCTTCTGGTGAAGGGCTTCGTTTCCGTACAGGTGCTGGTTCAGGCGCTGGAGCGGGCTCTGGTACTGGAGTAGAAGGTTGGGGGCTATCCGTTGCCTTCTTTCCACCCCACGCTGTGCCGTAACCAAGGGTCATATACTTCGTCCACGTCTCGGTATCACCCAGAGACGCTAACATGGACTTGGATTCGGGTGCTGGTGAATTTTGCTCAGGCTTCTTGCTGTCGACCGCAGCAGCAGCTTTGTCAAGAGAGCTCTCGGCCGCTCTGACTATGGGTGGAGGAATGCCCAGGGGTAGGGCTGAGTTCGGATTTGATGTAGCAAGGCGTGGTCTTTCAGGTCGTGTAGGGCGAAGTGAGTCTGGCGTTGGTTCCTCTGATTCGAGTGCAGTCCTTGGATTCCTTCTCCGTCGTTTCTTTCGATCGGAAGCTGGGTTATCACGCACACCATAGGCGTACTCGCCATAACAGTAGATGCTTTCTACCCAGTGCGACAAGTCTCGCAGCGATTTCCGGCTCACTGCCCCCAGACCTGAAAAGACAACACCGTCTGCAGCCTGAGCGGTCCTCCCGACTCCAACCCATGGGTCCAGTTCAGAATCGTCGAGCGTCCGAGGGTCCGTGGATGTTTTGGCTTGCTGCAATGGCGATACTTCTCCGAAACGAGATACCATGACATCAACTAGACCCGGTGTCCTGCGGGCAAAGTCCTCCAAGACGTCGCGCTCGCTGCTGCCCCACTCCTCCTCGCCCACGCCCATGCCCAATTCTCCGCCTGCTGCCAGCTTCATGCCGCCAAATATATCCACAGCGGGGCTCCCATGGAGGAGTACATCCCAATTAGACGCAAACCGTGACCAATACTTGTCAAGAATGCTGCAGAACTTGGTGCGGCCATGCTTGGCAAACATGCCCTCGAGCGTCAAGCCATGATGCAGCAGGAAGATGAGTTGAGCGCGGACGAGTTGCTGGATGAGGAGCGCCGGCGGGCTGACTTCGCGTGAAGAGTATTCGATTACGGGCTCTGTAGTGTCGGTGCTGGAGTCTTTTCGGGTGAGGCCAGAGGCAGCGGGCAGCTGAGTGAGATCGATAGACTGGAGTCATGTTAGTCGGCGGCAGTCACCTCTATGAGAATGTGCATACAGCCAATATCCACCACCCATTTTCCAGCTCGTGAAGAACAATGCGCGACTTTTCTGTTTCGACCGTGTCGACCGCCTCGCCATTGGAGAAACTCCTGTCGCCGGGTTAGTGCCAGCGCATACAAAGCGAAGCGGCGGTGCAGTATCATGCGCCCTACTTTGCAAATCCCACCATGCCCTGTGCTAGGCCGACCTGGCGCAGCTTTTCATTCTCCTGGTCGCGCAGGTCCTGCTCTTGCTGCGCGTCTCCATTTCTGAGCTTGGCGCGTGTCTTTGCGGCTTTGGAGTAGTAGAAGACAATTTGCTGGTCAAATGTTTCGTCTGATGTTCCCAGCGAGGGGTTGTAGATGGCCAAAAACGACAGCTGGGCCGGAATGACCTTGGGCACCGCCGTGGACGACATTCGTGTATGCGCCGATGGGGGCCAGTCGCGAGGCGCGTTGACTAGGCTGTCGTGGTGGCAGGAGGGTGTTGCGTCACGGTTGCATATATGTACGTAGGTACGCAGGAATGTACATACGTAGGTGTACCCTGTCAGCCACCCGCCAACGGTCGCCCGACACTATTTGTAGATGGGCCATGACCAGCAGAGGGCGATATGACGCCGAACCATATAGGGAGCCAAGGACATGGCCGATTGTCACTGTCATCGGAGGTGAAGATGCCCCACGGCATGGCGATCGCAACATGGCCGTGTCGCAGGGCGCGGCATCTTCCGAGCCCATGGCCGACCGTCTTCTTCACCTCCGAACCATGCTGTGGCGACTGCCAGGCTCGATCCGATCTCTGCTGCTCTCCTCACGGCGCCATTACGTCCCTCCGAGCTGTTCCGCCTCATTGCCTTCACCGCTGCGCATTCTCTTCTGTGGATCAGATGACTTCAGTATCGCATCCTTGCGCGCTGTCGTGGATGCGAAGCGTCGGGTTCCCCAGCTTATAGATAGCGTACAGGTGCTCCATCGCCCAGCCAAGCCTACTGGAAGAGGACTGAAGACGTTGAGAGAAGGTAGACACGCCTGTCCATGTGCGACATCAAGGCCGTTGACCCAGTACAGTACCTATCAAACAGGTAGCTGTTGAAGAGCTCAGCCTTCCCACCCATGCACTTGATACATTCACGGGTTGGGCACCACCCGCCCCCGTAGACCTCGTCATCGCCGTATCCTTTGGCCTTTTCGTGCCTCCTCGCATCCTCGCCCTTTCTCGTTATGGCGGCATAAATGTCCATCCATCACTGCTCCCTGACTTGCGCGGGCCAGCTCCAATCGAGCATACCATCCTAAAGCAGAGAAAATATACGGGTGTCTCCATCCAAACACTCCACCCACAGCACTTCGATCAGGGTACTATTCTCGCCCAAACACCAGCCCCAGGCATTGCAGTCCCCCCAGGCATCACATCACAGAATTTGGAGAAACAATTGGCCCATGTGGGAGCACAAATGCTCGTAGACGTGCTCGAATCGCGAAAATTCATACCCCCGATCACGGATGCCGGATGGTTCGCTCAATCTGGCTGCCCTACCGACCATGCGCCAAAAATCACAAAGGCTGACCGGTTCATCGATTTCGAGACAGACACCATGGCAGCCGTTCTTGCCAAACACCAGGCGCTCGGCGATCCATGGTGCGTGCTGCCCAACGGCCATCGCCTGATACTGCACGACGTCATTGACACGGACACGGCCGATCGCTCCGACCGCAAACCCGGCCTGTTTATAGAGCCGAATACAAAACAACCCATGATCCGGCTTGCCTGCGGAAAAATAGCCGCCGTAGTAAAGAGCACATATGAAGGGAGCAAGCATGGCCATGGCAATGCAAAGCTGGTCCGCATACTAGCTGACGGATGAGTGCCAGGATAACCCTTGCACTTACAAAATTGACCGTCAACGGCTACTCGTTAGACCATCTATATTCAATTACCACCATTATCGTCTTCCCACTCTTCTTTAGCATCCTGAAAATCCTCAATCTCCTTCATCACTCTAACACTTTTCGAGGTCGCTGATATCTGATCCAGAGCACCCAGCAAACCCGCAGAGCCTGAGACCTCGTAGAAGAGCTTTCGCACTGATTTGGCACTGCCCTCTACAGTTCTGTTCAGCATCTGTAGCAAATGGAGAAATCCATCATCAGACTCTGCATCAGGTGTGGTATTCTTGATTAGAAGGGATAGTCCCTGTGTCCAGCGTTGAGTTGCAAACTTTAGCTCGTCTGTCTGTTGCTTGCCCTCTGGCAGGGACGAGAAGAGGTATATTATGCCATCATAGAGATCTTGGATAGTCGGAGTCGCGGGCGTCAAGAAAGATGGCTTTTTAACTTTTTCCTCTATGGGGTGGCGCTGCCTGAAGGCCTCATACTCCTCTTCACCAAAAGCACGGCGCCTAGCGTTGAGATCAATAGTCTCTGAAGGCAAGTTTATCTGACCTACAGCGCTTGATAGCTCGTTTTGAATCTCCGGTGCATGTTGGTGATCATGGAATAGCGTCTCCGCAGCTCCAGATGAGAACAAAACTCTTTTCATATGCCCGCGAGGTGGTCTGATTGGCAGTGCTGGGTTCAGATTTATGTTGACTGAAGCAGAACGTTGTGCATAACTCGTGGCAAAGACATTGCCTTTTATAATCGGTGATGGACTATGTGTATATGCAGCGATAAATGCCGAGTTACTTGATAGTACCACGGGGGCCGGTTGAGTTTCAGGGACCTTTCTCGCACCCAGATCGACCTGTGTGAGCATATTGCGGATGTCCTCAACTATGCTTCTGACTGAATCATCAGCTTCTGACTTTTTCAGCACTTGCTCTAACAACCCATGCGTCTTCTCATGGCTCTGTGTGCTTTTATCGTCTGCGAGGGTAGAGTTTGCCCTGAACAGTTAGCTTCCGACTGATTTGACCGCAGGGATACAGAAATTACCAGATCATAGAAGTCAGTATGAGATTTATCGCATCAGTATGCGACTTCAGCTTCTCGCGATATTGTTGCAGCGACAGTTTTTCACGGTCCCACCGTACCCTATACCAGTTGACTTGGATGCTTTTCTTCATGTCGTCTAATGTGCGCAACTTCGCTTTGCCTCTGTTGGCCGCTGCATTCTCTACAGCTGCGCTCTCAATCGAACGGTACTTCTCAGTCATGGCTTCTAGTTCTTTTAGAGTAGACGCGCAGGCATTCATCATCGCATCTAGTTTCTCTTTGAAATTTGCTCCTCCATGCCGATCTGGTCGTGCAAGCAGATCCTTGGAAGCTTCTCCCAGATGGTCCAAGGCACATTTTAGGCTGAAAAGTACGTCCTCAAGTTCTTTGAGATCGCGCGAGGCTGCCTTCCTTCCAGAACTGATGCTTGAGTAGAGACCATACGCTAGTTGACTGAGGAGTACTACACACCATTAGCGTCCTTCTCACATCATGCGAAGCGACATACTCACTAATGTCCCCGATTGAAAACCCAAACGACATCGTTTCTTTGTTTTTGCTATGGCGATGTTGAGATCTGAACAGCAGTGGCCTGGTGATCAGGCTGAGCACCACAAAGGAAGGCGCAGTTGTGCGGCTGATGCGACCCCGCTTCGTTTTAGAGGCGGCTGGCAGTTATGAGGGCTAAAAGCACCTTCTCAGCCTGGCAGGCACCTTCGCTCTTAGCTTGAACTCCAAAACTTATCCAGTGCCCCTCATATTCTTGTCGAGCTTTCACTCTTTCAAAACTGCAACAATGTCGTCAAGTGCACCTACAAACCTCCGCAAGGTCGTCATCGAGGGTCTGCAAAAGATCAGGGATGTCGAGCAAAATGAATGGACTGCCACCCTAGACCAAGACTCCGGGTTGTACACCGTCTCTATGACCTTGAATGAAGACGAGGTGATATGGCATGGGCTTTGGAACAAAATCGAAGGTATAACATCTGCCGCCCTTCTCTCATAGATATCTTGACGACGGTTAGAGTTCGGCTTTGCGGTGCCTAAAATACTGGTGAATGGTGGTATCGAGCACCAAAAAGAGATGCCGGAATTTCTGGTGAAAGAACACGACGAAGTCCTTGTGGTAGCAGACGATCAAGCCTCCACTCCCACCACAATAAAGATCAGTGAAACGCTAATATCACACGCAAATTCGCACCACGTTCCACCTCTTGAATTCAGAATCGATGAACTGAGTACTTCTCGGCGTGAGGTACGAGACAATCGTGGGTTTTGCGTAACGTTTGAGCGAACTGTACGCATACCCGACGATAACAAATTACACCACCTGCCATCTTCATTGGGACGGTATGAGCTCTTCAGCGTAGACGCCTACTCGAAACGCCTCCCACAAAATGTCAAGGAAGCAGGTGGTGTCTTCTTCTCAATGTGGCAGAGAGAAGCCATGTGGCTCAACTTCCAGCAAGGCTCTCATAAGTATGCAGTACGGGTCTTCGTCGGCCATGTGAATGCCATAACTGGGCAGGAAATGCAAACGGGGCTGGATACGAAAGATGAGAGCAATTTGCAGGACTACGTCGTCATACCTGGACAGAAATGGCTGGATGGTATTTGTGTAGCTCCTGGTATTGTTCGCCAGTTCGTTGCCATGCCATGTTCGTATACAGATCAAGAAATTATATGACATATGCACTAACTACTGACCACAGTGGGTTCTGGATACACTGTCGAAGGTCAGAAAACTTCAGAAGAAAAGCATGGAGGACTACAGCTCGAAGTCACGCCTGAAATGATGCAAGGCAAACAATTGTGGTCGTACGCAAAACAACAATACATCACATTCAAAGGCGATAACAAATACCGAAACGATGGACTGAAAGAGTTCTACACCCCTCGTGAACTCGGCTGCAAGATCGGTGACATTCTCAGATCATATCCAAATGATCCAACCTACCAAACACGTTTCCAAATTCGAGACTTGGTCACGTCAGAGGTCGAGGAAATGGGCGAGAATAAGCTTCCTCAAGATTTTGATTCATCTTCGATGCCGCTTGTCGAACTCAAAGCTGATGGCGGTATCATGCCTATGTATCCACCAACGCTAGCGTTGAGGTGCTCTCCGGGCACACAGGCACGCGATTCAACTTTGTTCCAATCATTCAGTTCAACATTGGGATTGACCAATGAAACTGGATTGGCCAATGGTCCTCGTTCATCCCTTAGTCCGCCTTTAAGTAGTTCCCTAAGATCCACCTCAAGCCCATTGACCTCAGCCCTTCCTGTTATGAGGCGCCAGAGTCAAAGTTCCAGATTATCTAGTTGCCAATCTGACGTAGATGCAGCCCAAGGCATCACAATGCATGTTAAGACCGAGAGTGAAGGCAGAAGAGGATTGATGGAGCTTACCGAAACCCAAGTCAAAAACATCAAGACCATGGGCTTAGCTGCCGGAGGGAAACTAAGTACGTTACCCTATATGTTTGCTTTCCTCTGTGGGTCATACTAATAACCAACAAAAGTCCAAGACATATACAAAGACAGAAATACCCCTACAACATGGAACCATGCCGCAGCGCGCATTCTCCACGTGCACATTCTTGATCCCGAGAGCTGCGAAAAGGTCACACATATTGTTCCTCAGCCTCCACCTATGGACGTGAAGAGGTACGCCAAGACTGGCGGTCAGTTCTGGGTCGTTGAAGAGAAAGTCGATGAGCGACTTGATGGCGGAGATTTCGACAGCGTCAAGAGTGTCAGCCAGATGGACAAACATGTGGGTATAACCACGGAACCGGAATTCAATCCGACAAGACCCAAAATGTGTACGACGTGTGAGATTCGACTGTGTGATTGCATGTAAGTGCCGCGCTCACTCGCCTTATTCTTACTAACGAATCAAACCCCAGCGTACGCCCCTGCAATCACCAATTTTGCAATATATGCATCAAAGCAATTGAGGAAGGCAGCGCCACCGAACCTGATTCCCAACAAACAACGCCCTGGAAATGCCCCACTTGCAGCACCCCCATCTCCCGTGTTGCCGGTTTCTCCGCACCTATGAATCTACCCGGCGAGGAGCCCATGCTCCGCACCAAAGTCCCCGTGAACGTGCTCAAGGTTGAAGACGGGAGAGCGAGATTTACGAGCGTGCAGATGTCCAGGGTTTAACCCCTTGATGAGAGTCAGTCTTGGAACCGGGTCAAGAAGGTGCCCAGCGTGAAGAAGGAGCAGGGAGCATACTGATAAGAAAATTAGCCGTTTATCGCAATTCAGTTTATCAATGTAACGCCGTATCGACCGTGCATACAAATGCGATTAAGTCCACAACCATCCCTGCACAGAGAAGTGAATACCAGATCTACCCCCACACACACGAGCAAGACTCCCCCCCAGCTAGTTTCACATCTTCATGCACAGTCTAGGAATAATCTTAGACCTCAGAACGTCACCGAGAAAAAACTTCCGAACGAAAATGCATATTCCGTATACCCGAGGTTGTCCGAGTATCTACGTGACCCCCATGGAACAAAAAAATTCAGCTCTTGAGAGCTAATCGTGAGACGAAGCCAATTAAAATGACGGACGAAATAAAGGAAAAAAAAGAAGGTCCTAAAACGTCTTGTAATAACCGCATGAGCCATTTTTATACCGTTGCTGCACAGACGCATAGTACACACACAACCCATGCCAGCGATCCAAGGGTCCATGAAACCTAGCAACGACATTGAACCATGCAGAGTAATCGAACCTTGCAAAGAATTATGAGAAAAAAAACAGGGCCACCAGCGTTCCTTGCTGTAGTAATACCCAGCTCGGGCGTTCTACTAAAACAAGCAGGCGTGTATACTAGTACCCTGGTGCCAAAAATTCCAAAAAAAACCACCCGACCGTTACATACTTGCATCCACTAATCTACATACCCATGCAAAGAAAGTCTATTCTGCAGGTGTACATCGGAGTAAGCAAGGATTATGTTGTTACGTCCGTATGGTAAAACTAGCCAAGGAAGAAAAAGAAAAGTGATGATAGAGAGAGAGAGAGAAAAAAAATGGCAAAAAATAAACAACTCCCCCGGAAAGGCTCGAACTTTCAACCTCCTGATAAGCTACTGGTGTAACAGTCAGACGCGCTAGCCAATTGCGCCACGGAGGAAGGATGCGAAAGCGCTGAATGCGCTTCGGTTTTGAGTTGTGATGTGAAACTCGAGTTTTTTGCAGTAAATATACTCAATATGTAATGATTTTCGCTTGGTGTTGCACGCAAAAGTAATACTTAGGATATTGATCGGCTAATGTGTAGGACCACCCAATCTAATACAGTTACGCCTCGGATAATTGAGTAAGTTCGATACGCGAAATTTCCGTTGTAATACCCACTCTACAAACTTTGTGTTTTTGTCTTTGTTTTCTCTCAAGCGCATTTGGGGATGTCGGGATAAGGGCTTATTTTTTCTTTGTTGTTCACGAAAGCGGGGGGAGGGGGTCGACTACTACACACTAAACTCACCGGCGGTTTCGGAATTTACAATTTTCCCCCCGTTTCGAGATTGTTTGTGGCTGCTTACTTGAACACCCCCTTGCAATCAATGAGAATATACCAAGTGGAAAAATTCTTGGAAGACAGGAGGTCAGAATGGTAAGAGTAAAGGTTATGACTGTATGGATGGTACTGAAGCGAATCGTGTCGAGTGGAGAGGCTCCGCCTGATGTGCTGCATGGAGCAACTTGAAGCGCGCCGCCTTGGTACTGGTAGGGGGCACTTGGACTGGTTCTGTGTTCTCCATAACTGGTGTGACGTGCGCAAACCCCAATCGTGCGTGTTGATAGTAAAAGATTAACTGATAGCGTCATTGCTTGTATGTCTATATCTGGTAATTGCGCTTTATACACCGTGTACTTGTTGTTTCTAAAATGCAACCAATCTTTCCCTATGCAAACGCCATGTACAATCATCAAAGAAAATCATCTTGACGGCCTCATCTGTACATCCGTCTCACCATGGTCTCGTTGCTCATTATCATACTCCGGGGCTATAAGCCCCATCTCCTCCTCTCCATTTCCCCTCTCCCTTTGCATAACCTTGTTTGAATGTTCCTTGTTCATAGCAACATAAATCGCAGAGCCTAGGATGAGTGAAGAGCCAATGATGGACAGGGCGCCTGGCGTTGTGCCCCAGACGAGTTTGTCAAATGAGAGAGCGAATAACATTTGCATGTAAACCATATTGGTAGCACGAGATGACTTCTCATATTGCAGGCCGGCTGCTAAGAGAAATTGCTGGAGAATGTTAATGGAATAGCATCGAAGGAAGCTAACAAAACGTACCATGATGAAGCCGCAGATACCGAGGAATATCAGATAACACCAGTCTACGAGGTTGCTTGGAAGTAGAAAGCCAACACCTGGTATGGTAAACATGGCTACAATACTGACAATCGTACACCAGGCTCCAAAATAATTGACAGTGATGAGAGGATGAGCACGTTTGCCAATCCAGCGAATAGTCGTGTATGCTCCAGCAGCCCCCAAAACACCAAGCATAGCTACGCCAACTGCAATCGCTCTTTGCTTAGGAGTTACAGAATCATAGTCTGCGGCAAGGCGGTCCGGTGATGCAGTCGTTGTGTTGGCAGGAAGCGGATCTGGGTTGGCGCTGACAGGCGTTACTGTCTCTGGAGAATGAGAAAGAGCGGCAAAAAGAGAGACGGGCCGTGCAATCAGAACAACGCCGAAGAGTGAGACATATGCTGCGATCTGTTCCATCCGAGTGAACGGTTCGTCGATGAGGTAGGAGCATGCCCAGCATGCAAGACTAGGCGCGAGAAAAGTGATGACTGTCGCATCAGCTAGGGGAAGATACATTAAAGAATCTGCGACAAGTCAGCACTATAATCTATCAGTAAGGTCCGTGAATGGTATAGTAAGAAAGTCCAAAAGAATGTAGACAAGGCTCCCCAGAATAGTTGTCAACTCCGAGACTAAGCCAAGTCGGAAGTCTTTGAACAGACCCTTGTACACACATGGATAACCCATGAATGGAGTACATCACTTACAATACATGCCGAAGACACCAAAGAAGCCAGTCAGGCCTCGGGCTATCAGTAACGGGCGTACTTCCTTCATACCGAACGGAAAGTGCTCCGTCTTCCTATACCACATGTACAAAGAAGATAATATGACGGTTATGCTCATCCTAGCAAAGAGTATCTGGAAAGGATCATATCCATTGCCTATGTTGCAGTCAGCAAGCAATAGAAACTTGACTTCAGAAAAAACCAATTTACCATTGTTTCCTTCCATTTCCAACATGCGTGTTGTGACATTCATCAGTGTGCCAAACAGCTGCGAAATCAAAACAAGAGCCAAACCTTTGTTAGCAGTCCATGATGCTTGTATCCTGCCCTTGAAACTCCGCGGGGGACTAGGGGACCGAGACAACTGTCTCGCATGATAAAAAGGGATACTACTACGATCTGGGGTCCGGCCAATGCGTACATTGTTGGAATCGTCAATCGAGACCAGGGAGGGATCTGGGGACGGCACACGAATTGCCCCGCGATTGACCGTTAGTGTGTTTTCGGCCTTATCTTCGGGTTTAAAACGAGGCTCAGCTACGAGTCTAGGCTCTGGATGTTGCTGTGCAGTCTTGTCATGGTCTGCGATGGATTTCGGGGGTGTTGGCTGGTCCATGGTGTCTGGTGTAGTAATCCGGACAGATGGATGGAGGTCTGTGACGAAGACATTGAGACGTAGTGGAAGGCTGAACGAAAAGAGTGGTGGGTTAATCAGCTATGGACGCCACGCGAAAATGAGGAAGGCGGCTACCAAGTCAACGAGTCACAATCATCGACAACGCAGCGGCCCCCACAGTTCCCCATCTTTGGCCATTGATTGCCATTGTTCCCCATACGTTCGCTCCATGGCGGACTCGCTAGTTCGTGGAAATATTTGTACTTTGATCGAGAGCGTACCAGACAGCTCAGGTCCATTCCTTAGCGATTCATCAGAATTCGCCGTGGTTCCAGACGACATCTACATGATGACGTCGGCTCATGCACGTGACCACACATGATGTAACGTGATGAAATCATCAAGCATATTGTCGGTGGTCCGCAACCGTTCAATTAAAGCAAGGGAAATGACGAAAGACTCTTGAACGTTACGTCGGCGAAAATCCACGGTAAGCCATCTGGGTCTGGATTTCCAGAGTTACTAATACTTAGCTATGTGACTGAGAGGCAGCAAAATCCAATCTTAGTACTACCTATCTCCCACTCCCAGCTTCCATCTCTAGAGATAAATTATACCGATAAATAAGGTTTCTTTAGCCTAGTAAACCTCACTAACGCCATTTGCATAGCCATACGATTTCCTCCTTATTAAGCTCACATATTAGACAAGTATTCCGTAAGTAAGCCCTGGTCCATTCCTAGACTAGAACACCATAAACGAACTCTAGTACATTTTTTTCTCGCTAGGTGTAATATCATACACAAAACATACAAGTAAACCCTGCCCGCCTTGTAGTCTGGCCCAGGCCTCTTTGTCTTGTGCAAGCAGTTCGGTCAGGCTAGAGTAATCCGGTCGGCCCTTCTATTGATTACCACAAGAGCCAAACACAACCCTTCCGCAAAGCCACAGAGCATTTGCGCCGAGGCACCGAAACTTCAAAAAAAATAAAGTTTCCCTAAGGCTTTGGCATCGAGCAAGCCCCCCCAGAAAGTGGGCTGATGTTCTTCTGATGATCGACTGTTCATTACTTCTAGATCTCCTTTTATTCCCGCCACAGGCATGGGCATGCCGGGAAATGAGGCCCAAGAGTCCCTGCAGTACATGCATACTTTTTGGTGTTCTGGGGGAGGGGTTCAAAATAAAGTCCGGAAAATGTACACGTTGTATTACCGCATAATGCGCGCGGAAGTGGGGAGGGGTTGTCCATCCGATCGATGGCTTATGGTGCTGGATAGTCATGCACGGCGAAGTGACCCGACCAGATATGTGACTCGCTCACATTTCGTGCATGCACCGTCGCAGAGGTGACTATTGACCTGGTAATGGACGAAGGCGCTTTCCATTATGATTGGTCCAGGCGTATAACTGCTGTGATGGCGAAAGATTAGGGGACGTGAGCCGTAGCTATTCCTAAACCAGGTGGAATATGGCTATCAC